ACACGTACAGGAACTGCGCGATGTGCTCCACCGAGGGGCGTGAGATGTGGTTGTGCGACAGATTGAGCGATCCCACCGGTTTGATTCTCCGCCAGCTGAGGTGTGTCGTGTGTGTGTGTGTGTGTGTGTGTGTGTCGTGTGTGTGTGTGTGTGTGTGTGTGTTGTGTGTAGTGTGTGTGTGCGTGTGCGTGTGCGTGTGTGTGTCAGAGGTTGCCGACAGAAATTTGGGTGGACGGTTGCGTACTGCGGCGAAGAGGAGGCAGGCCTGCTCGTCGCTCACCGAGCAGCCGGTGAGGTTGATGTGCTCGAGGTACGTCGACGACAGGCACTTGATCAGGACCGTCATCTGACCGAGAACAGAGAAAAAGAATGAAAAGAGAGAAAGAAAAGAGAGTCAAGAAGAAGAAGAGGAACGCGCAAGGCACGACGTGGATCTGGGATTGGTACCTGCGGCGTGTAGAAGGGGTTGTTGGAGAGGTCGATGCTGGTGATCTGCTGACGTGTCTGCAGCACCTGCAGCACTGCCGACACACCGTCCTGTTTTGCCCAGTTATAATTGGGAGAACGAAGGTGTGGCCCTGTGTGCTATGTGTGCGGTGGTGCGTGTGCGGTGGTGTGACAGACCTTGGAAAGAATGTTGTCCAAAGTGAGCGAGCGAATGTGAATGGGCAGTTTGGAGACCACGGAGAACAGGCTGTCGTGCACGTTGCGCTTCCCTGTCTCCCCGTCAAGCATTATATCAATATGTATATATATATATTAGTAATATAAGAGAATACAAACGCAGTCGCAAGCTGGCCGTACCGGAAGTATTGCGGAACTCGAGGTTGGTGAGCGACGGGTTCTTTTGGCAGATTTCAATGTACTCCAGCTCGAAGTCTGCATTCGCACATAGTGCCCCACCCAATTGTTTTAGTTACCAACACGACACACGACACACACACGCCACAACTCACGCCACAACTCACGACGTGTTGCCATGCGAGCAACGTTCGTACCTCCACCGAACTTGCAATCAGTGATGTTGAGCTGTGTGGGCACACAGTAAATAAAACCAATAAAAAAAAACACAACATGTGACGATATGTGAGCCGCACACATTCAAATGAGGTTTTCCTCAAGGAGGCGGCTCCGAAGTGGTCAGACGCGTACCGTGTTGAGGGACGGGTAGGACTTGAGGAGCTTCTGGATGGCGACGTTGAAGGTGAAGCGGCGGTAGATGTTGTTGCTCGGGATGTAAATAACTGAGGGCGGCGAGGTCTGGCCCGTCAGCCCCTGCTTCATGTACCGGTACGCCACGATCAGCTTCTCACCTGCACACCAAACATTGATATTAACCACATATCAATTTTTACATATCAATCAATGTGTGTCGTGTGTCGTGTGTCGTGTCGTCGTGTGTCCGTGTGTCCGTGTGTCCGTGTGTCGAGTCGTTGGTCATGTCGTGTCGTGGTACCGGTGAAGGAGAAAGTGCGGGGTCGGTGCAGCTTGGCGGCTTGGGCGGACGAGAAAAGGGCCGGCGCGGGTCCGGCGCTGGAGGCCGCCTGCGTGGCCAGCGAGAAGGCCGACGCCAGCTGCGCAGCCCCAACCCCCGGGGCGCCCGCCGACGCAGCCGACGACAATGACGAAGCTGTCGACAATGACGATGATGATGACGTCACGCTGGTGTTGCTGTCGACACTGCCCAGCAGCGGTGGTGCCATCTCGATGCGCGGGGATGTGGGGGGCGAGGCCAGAATGGCGGCCGACAGGGCCGAGGCGAGCGTGGCCGGGTCGTCGTCCTCCTCGCGCTCGTCCTCCGTGTCGGTCTCGGTGCTGTCGTCGTCCTTGAAGCCCGCCCGCTCGAGATCGAGCTTGGGCGGGGCCGGCGGGGCCTCGGGCTTTTGCATGAGCCGCGCCTAAAAGAGCGAAATTTAATGAAATAATGAAATAATAAAAACAACGCTAACCAGCGTATGATGTAGAGGTACCCTATGCAAGGACTTGAGCCATTCGAGCTAGAATGTAAGCCACGACACGACACGACACGACCAACGACACGACACACGCGCAACACGACACACACGCGGTCAGCAAAAACATGTAAGGCCACATGCGTGGGGAAAGGTGATTATTGTGGCGGAGGGTTACCCGCTCGGTGAGAGTGGCCGAGGCGAGGAAGGTGGTGGGCCGCTCGGGGTGAGTTATCTGGAAACAGTAGGCCGCCGACTTGGTCGCCCACTCATTCACCCTGGGTCGGGTTATGTTGGTCGCGTTGCGCGTTGCGCGTGTGTGCGGTGCGTGCGTGTGCGGTGGAAAGGCTGCAGCGTGGCGGCGCCGTACCTGCACTCGAGCGTCACGTTGTCCATCGCGATTTGTCCCACCGGGCGCAATTCCTGTATGACGGTGGGGCGGACGGTTGTGGCGTCGGCCAAAAAAAAGTAGCGCGTGTCAGCGTTGGGTGGGGCACCTTCTCTCGGCGGTAGTAGCACAGAGCAGTTCGGCCCAGGACCTGGTAACGCCCCCAGAACGAATATGTATGATTTCAATCAATTCATCAATAAATAAAATAATAAGAAGAATGATTACATAGGAGCGGGTGGGTAACGTACAAACCAGTACTTCTTCCACTCGCCATTGTGCTTCCTGATGAACAAGAAGCCCTCCTACGATGCGCGGAACATCAAAAAGGAAAGATTAAAAGAGTGTTTTAAAAGGGAATCAAAAAACTTGCCAAGTGCGCACCTTGGTGGTGTCTACGAGGACGACCGGCAGAGGAATCCTCTCCAGCGAGGGTCCCGAGTGCAGGCCCGGCCTATCCATCGTCTTCCTTTCTTTTTCAATTTATCTGTAATTAATTTGTATTAATTCCATCTCGGCATGCCACGCATACCAAGATGACAGTTGCAGCCTTCGTGCACGAAAACTACAACAAGAGACAAAAGCAAAAATCAACGACAACCATAATGGGCGAGCATCTGGTATCTGCTGTGGGTGGCGCGCTGACTGCCGCCCTTTCGCACGTTACTTCCTTCCCTTTGGGTTCGTACTCCCTCCCTCCCTCTGTGTCACGATTTATTTAAATGCAAGAAAGTAATTTGAGCCATTGGGAATCAGATGTGCTGAAGGTGAGGGCACAGGTGGGCCGTAGCTGGCTGCCGTTGGGCGAGGGCTTCCGGCACGGCCTCGCCGCCAGCCTCGTAGGCTGGAGCTTGCACGGTACCCATAAATTATTTTTCAATTATTTATTCTTAAAAATAATTATTTATGGGGACTAACTTTTCGCTATTATATTTGCATAATTAAAAAAATTATTTAAGTAAATATATTTATTAGCATAATTAATATAGTAATTTGATAATATAAGGTGGTGCCAAATTCCTGGGGTACAACATGCTGAGGGAGGAGCTGCACGACGTGCTGCCGTGGGGTCCGTCGAACACGTACCTCTTTGCCTCGCTCACCGCCGAGACCGTCGCCACCCTCCTCCTCGCGCCCTTCCACACCTGCGAGGTTCGTTCACGGCGCCTCTGCCTCTGCTCCCGCGTCGTCAGTTCTGTTTCCGTGTGCGGTTGCGCGTGTGCGTGTGCGTGTTTGACCGGGCCGTTGATTGTGGTGAGCAGGTCAAACTCGTGTCGGATCCGCTGTTTGCGCCCAGCCTCATCGCCGCCCTGCTCAAGATCATCCGACTTTCCGGCGTCCGTGGGTATGCGCTTTATTTTGTATTCTTATTTTTTTTATAAATTACTTTTCTATTTTAATATCAAATGTATCAACTATTATTTATATTTTAATATTGTCAGGCTGTTCGCGGGGCTTCCGGTGCTGCTGTTGCGTCAGCTGGTGGCGGGCTTCTGCAAGTTCCACCTGTTCGAGAAGTGCGCGCGTGCCTCCTTCAACTACCTCGAACCAGGCTACGCCAAGGACCGAAAGATCAAACGCGTACGCGCTTGTCTCAATTCTTATCTATAATCTATTTATCTATTTATCTGTTTTCAAAACTTAATTATTTATTCTCTTGGCTCCTCCAAGTACCACCGAGTCGCGGGCGTGCTGTTTTCGTCGCTGGTCACGTCGGCGGTGTGCGCCATCGTCAGCAACCCGTTCGATGTCATCTACACCCACATCGCTGCGTCCCCTTCCCCGCTCAGCGTCCTCGATGTCTACGCCCAAGTAGGCCTTACCGGTACCGACATGGCCTGTCCTGTGAGCGTGTGTCGTGTGTCGTGTGTCGTGTGTCGTGTGTCGTGTGTCGTGTGTCGTGTGTCGTGTGTGTCTTGTTTGTGTGTTTGTGTGTTCTTACGCGAGCGACGGCAGGTTTGTTCGCTGGCGTGGGATACCGAGTGGCATCCACCACGCTCAACAATTTCTTCATCTGGTATGTCGTACACACTCACTCGCTCTCTCTCTATTTCTTTGTAGAACGCCAACCAGCTATCTCAACCCTGGGTTTTCATTCTTTGTCTCTTTTTTTGTGCAGGGTCTACTACGATTTGTTCAAGGAGCTCATTGCCATGTGATTGACATTGGCGCAGGTAGAAAACGCCAATAAACAAGTTATTTTGCAAACCTAAACACTTTACTGCCTGCTGAGGCGCTTGTAGGTGTAGCTTCACAGTGCAGCTCCGTCCCTTGAGAAAAGAGCCTTGAAGGAATTTATGTGCAAGTCTCCTACTTTACTACAGCACATCTTCGGCCTCCTTGTCTGAGAGGGGCTCAACATCCAGCACCTCCTTCTCCTCGTCGTGGTGGTGGCGCTCGCTCTTGTGGTGGTGGTGGTTCTCACTCTTGTGCTCCTGCTTGTCGCCGTTGTTGTCGTGGCAGCAGGCCTTCTTGTCGGCAACTGCGTCGGCGGCGGGCTGGTGGTGCACCACCGCGTGAATTTCCTCCTTCTTGGGCGCCTCCTCAGCCACATCATCCACGTGCTGCTCCTTCTTCTCCTCAAGCAGCTCCTTCTCCACATTCTTCTTCGTCTGTGCTCACCCACACGACACACGACACACGCGACCACGAGCATTGGCTGAAGGCTGCCACGACACGACACGACACGACCAACGACACGACCAACGAAAAGCGCAAACAACGGACCGACTTGCCGAGGCCGAAGGGGAGAGAGGCCTTGAGCTCGTCGATGGCGGCGTCCTTGATGGCCACGGGATCGAACTTGTCGGCCACCTTGGCCCACTCGAAGGTCTCGTACTGGTGCACCAGGTACGGCACCGTCTGCACAGGGAAAGCCAGAAAGCGAAGCGCGAGAACGAAGAAAAAAAACGAAGAAAACGAAGAAACGAAAGAACGAAGAACGAGAAAGCGATGAGCGCAAGACTGGGGAATTGTAAGGTGGCGGGGGGCTGTGGGACGACGACGTGCCTTTTCGTAGGGCGGCAGGAGGGCGGCAGTGGCGACACCACCGCTGAGCAAGGCCAGACGGAAGGGCAGCCTCAGCACTGCGTGAAAGAAAAAGCGAGAAAAAGGAATAAGTAAAATAATAATAATCAAATATTATAATAAAAAGTAGTGCGGCGAGTACCTTTCCTGGTGGCGACGAGCGTCAGCACGCCAGTCGTCGCAGCGAAGGCGATCTCAGGGCCCAGCTTCTGACCAGTAACTGTACAGAACAACATATAACACACGCACACGCACCACCGCACACGCACACGAACACGCACACACACAAGTCAAAACAAGGAAGTTGGCAATTGGGGGAGGAGCATTGAATCACGCACGCAGCCAGTAGTATCGGGTGGCGAAGTGCTTGGTGGTGCCCCACTTGTGGTCCAAGTCGGTCTTCTCCTTGAACGACTTCCACTGGCCCTGTAGCGGCAACCGCAACAAAGTAATCAGCACTACGCCACGTGTGTGTGCGTGTGCGGTGGTGCGTGTGCGGTGGTGGAGAGAGGTACGCAGGCGTCGGCGAGGGTCTCCTGGGCGGCGATGCGGACGGAGGTGATGTAGGGGCGCAGGAACGTGCCCTTCTCCTCCTCCCACACCTCCTCCCACTGCTGCTGCGACACCACCGGCGACTCCTCGGCCTCGACCTCGGCGGCGACGGCCTCCGGCTGCTCCTCGTCCACGGCCACGTCCTTCTCTGCTCCCGCGATAATAAAGTTAAATGATTATAATTTATTGGGATTTTATAAGCGTTGAATGGATGTAAATTAGAAAATAATGATAATAAGTAATAATCTAAATGGGTACCGTGGGCGTGCACGGAGGGCAGGCTGAAGCGGGAGCCGAGCATGGCAGCGCCACCGCCGGTCGCTAGCACGAGGCCGGCCCGACGCGGCTGTACGGCACAAAGATGGTCAGCCAAAACAAGTAATTGAATTTAATAAAGCCCACTACAAAATTGGCAGAACGGCTTGGAGGAGAAATCAAAATCAGAGAGGTGCGTACGGTCACAGTGAATTGCGAGCGTGCGAGCTTCATCTTTGCTTGTGTTCGCCGTGGTATTGTAAATCAAATCAAATTTTTTGTTTCTGCTTGCGTACGGTTGGTGCAGCCCCGGAAAATTGCAACGAAACAGCCGCAACTCTGAAGAATTCGAATCATAATAATTAAGATTGAGAAAAGGGAAGGGGGCAGGAGAACACTCTACCAAGAGAGGTGCATAATTTCTGTATCAAGGGAATTTCGGTTCCCCTCCACCACAGAGACCTGGTTGGCCCACCTTCTAAGGCATCACATAAACAGGAACTAGTTCTCCCTTGCCACTTCTCTTTCTTTCTTCTTCTCAAGAAAGTGTTAGAAACTGCCCATGGTGCTGAAGTGCAGGCATGAACCCAGCTGGACTGTGAAGTGGCTAGGGAGAGGCCATCCATCTGCCTCAACCACCATCCACATTCATGAGATTAGCAGCCTGCATTACCTGTTTCACCTCCCCATCCAGCAGTCTGGTCAGGTGCATGTGTATTGGTGCCAGTATCATGGTGAGCCAGCTGTCCTCAAGATCTATCCCAAGAGTGTCAGGGACTGCTACACTGCTGAACTCTGTGCTCTTAAGTATGGTATTCCCCCCACCCCACTTTATTCTCACCATCCTTGATGTGTTGGGGGTATGGGTGGGCATGTCCATAGGGCCATCAGGGAGCACCCCAATATTCTTGGCCTGCTTGTGACCTCTTTTCCACAGCTTGTCCTCAAGAATGAAGAGATGGACCTGGAGCAGCTGTGGGAGATAAGGTCATTCCTGCCACTGGAGGCCATCTCACTAACACTGGGCTATCCTTGTTTCTCACATAGACATGACATGACATGACACACCATAGGTCTTGCCCTCAAGGGGTGGGGTGCTTGAGCCCAAGCTCTGTGATTTTGGCATCTCTGCCTACTCTGTACCCAGAGGCCAACATCTTCTACAACAAGGCCAGTGACATCCACAACATTGGGCTTGTACTGGTGGAACTTCTCACCAGCAAGGTAGGCTCCTCCCTTCCTCCCTCTCCCCATACCTTACCACTGGCTGCTACCATAAGGCAGACTTCTCATCCACCCACATCCCCTGTTTCCCCAGAGGGACTTGGGCAGACCCCCACCTGGAGTGGCCCAAAGAGATCATGATGCTCCTAGAGAAGATGCTATTGTGGAAACAAGTCATGACAGACCCAATCTCATTCTGCCAGAGCTGGGGCTGGGGAGGTGAAAGGAGGATAGGAGAAGGATGAACCCAAAGCCTCAGAAGGGGAAAATTAGACATGGGGCTGCTATTGGCCTGAGGCCAGGCAGACCATCCCATTGGTGGTCAGTATTGCACCACCAGGATTGGCCTCCCACTGTGCAGGTCTCCATGTGTCCCTTGGGTGGTGAGACCTTGACAGCCCAAGTGGCTGACTCCTTGTGTGCTGTCATGATGCAACTGGCCTTGTGTGGTGAGTGTGATGACTGGGCGGCAATCCAGCCCTTTCCTGTGCATTGTGTGCTTGTCTGTGGTGGTTGAAGGATCCTGGTTGGTGCTGCTGATGAATATACATTCCTTGCTGGCTGTGAGGACCAGTGGAGTCCTCACTTGGCCCAGCTTCAGTGTGAGTCGAGGTTGAGCCAGACCCAGGACCAAACGCCCCACCCAACGGCGCCCACACCCGACGCCCCCCTCCTTCACCCCCCCCCACACCAACGCCACCGTCGAGCCACCAGCCCCACCAAGGCCAACCACGCATCAGCCTCAACCGCCAAGACCCCCCCTCGCCCCACTACCGCCACTGAGCACCCGAAGGACCTTCGGCCACGCGGCGACAACGAACGCACCAGCCACCCTACCCCTCGCCCCTGCACACGGCCGCGTAGCGGACCCGACCCCAGCACGCCTACCGATCGCTGCCCTACCCCTCCTACTATACGACGCGTCCTTTATTTAGTAAGACACACCTGTGCCCATCCCATCAGACGTGAGCCCGCCACGGCGTCAGTCCCTGCAGTCCTGCATTGCTCCTCGTCTACAATAATAATAATAATAAAAAGAAGACTAAAATTGAAAATGATTGTAAATCAAAACAGAAGATGGACGACGCATGGAGTTCATCGAAGAAGGCGCCAGTCTGGACTGGCGGCGAAGGCGGTGGCGCAGAGGCATTCGCGCAGGCCGTATCCGAGATGGTGAACCACAAGCAGGTCTACGACATGCTCGAAACTCAATCCCAAGTGTACGGCCCATCTCAATGCGCACAAATAATAATTAGATATAATAATAATTAGATTCTTTACACTGATTGGATTCATTTTTTCTTTTTACGATTTTAAAAAAACTCAACATTCGTGCCTCATCCAGGTACAAGTCGCTCAAGACGTCGCAAGAGTCGTTGACGGCCTTCAACGACTTCTCGGCCACCCTCTACCGCAACACACACCGGTGCGTGTGCACGCCTCGCTGCACGACACACACCGCACACGCTCCTCTCCCAAGTCTTACCATCTACGGGCGGTGCGTTTCTAAGGGACTTTGAGCGGCGCACGAAGATGATCAAGGACATGCAGAAGGACCTCGAGTATATCTATCGCAAGCTCAAGTACTCTCACGACGGCCTGCCCCATCACAGCCCTGACCTCCGCACTGACCCAAACCTGTGTGCGGTGCGTGTGTGTGGTGTGTGTGTGGTGTGTGTGTCGTGCGGCGTGTGCGGCAGGTTCTTGAAGGGGAAGGTGGAGGAGGTGACGGGGGTGCCGCCGGACGTGGTGCGCGCCACCCTGCGCGAGATGGACCGGGCCAAGGCCGCCTTCCTCGGCGAAGAGGAGGAGCAGCCACCGCAGCGGAACGACGACGAGGAGAAGGAGTCGGAGCCCGTCGGCACCACTCCGCAGCAGCAGCAGCAGCCACCACAGGCGGCGGCAGAAGCAGGAGAAGAAGCGAAGCGAGTACCTGAAGCCGAAGCCGAAGCTGAAGCTGACGATGGCGGAAGAAGTGTGGAAGTGCAGGGGGACGACACGCCGGCGGAGCAAGCGGTGAAGGTGGAGGTGGTGAAAGAAGAAGAAGAAAAGAAAGAAGAAAAGGAGAAGGAGGAAGAAGAGCAAAACACAGAAACGAAGGGCGAAGAGGGAGAAAAGAAGGTGGAAGAGGTGGTGGAGGAAGAACCACAAACACCGCCTCCCGCTGCTTCATCGGCGACGGCAACGTCATCTGCCGACCAGGAACGGACGTCGGCGCCGTCCGAGGTTTCGCTGTAAACAGCACCGTGCCTCAATTCCACACAATACATTTACAAAACATACAAAACACAACCGCGCCAGGGTCTGATGGATGGATGGATGGGTGGTCGTCTGTCTGGAGACATCAGCTCTTGGCCGCTGCCGGCTTGGGCGCAGGCGGTCCGGGCGGCGGAGGCGGAGGCGGCGCGGCCGCCATGGGCTGTGTGTCGTGTGTCGCGTGTCGTGCGTGTCGTGTGTCGTGTTTGTAAGGCCAAGTGTAAAATGGGGGCGTGGACGAGACACGCACGATCTTAGCCAGCTCCCTGGCAAGCTCCTCCCGTCTGTTCTTGTCCGGATCGTTCCGCATGATGTGGCTCTTGCGATCGTCTGTCGTGTTGTGTGGGATCTCCTCCTGGTCAGTTGGGCCAACATCATTGTCCGGCGGGCGGATGGGTGAGGGGAGTGGGTACGGTCGATGGTGATGACGAACTCGGGGCAGAAGCCGGCCTTCTCGCCCAACTGGAGGTAGCCCAGCTGGTTGGAGGCCACCAGTACGTCGTTCACCACCCACTGGTGGCTCGAGTGCTGCGTCACATGCAACCGTTGTTGCTATGCAACTCTACAACTTTTGGTTGAACGGAAAAGAAAAGAAGAGAGCGCACCGTGTGCCCGTAGCCCCAGAGAATGACCGGCGGCTTGAGCAAAGACTCCCATTCGGTGCCCACACCCACTAAGCGCAGCCGAGAAAGAAATGCGATGCGAGTCAGCCTGGCACAGAATCCTACCAGTACCAGGAGGTCAATGAGGAAAGCGAAGTACTGATGTTGCCGGGCTTGTGGTGGGTGAGCACGACGACGGCCTCGCCCGCGGCCTCGGCCTCGGCGATGGCGGCCTTGAGCCAGGCCACCTCCTCCGCGTGCCAGCGGTTCGTGTCCGCCGCCCGCAGCGTGCGCTTCTTCGGCTCCTCCTCAGCTGTGCTCATACACCCCATTAGCTCATCGCGCGTGTGCGGTCGTGTGTGTGTGCCGTGTGTGCCGTGCGTCGTGTGCGGTGCGTGTCGTGTCATTGAATGCAGAGCAGTACGGGAAGCAGGCGTTTCGGGGAACATGATGAGCGAGTAGTCGTTGACGGTGGCCTCCAGGTGCCCCAGATAGAACTCCGGGCAGTGGTTCCATAGGGTCGTCCCCAGCACCCTCACCTTGTGCCCTGTTCGCGTTTTCAGCCCACCAGAACTCACACACGCACACGCACACCGCACACGCACTCGCACACGCACCACCGCACACGCACACGCACACGCACACGCACCGTTGTCGTTGAGGAGCACCGAGCTCATGTGCAGAAAGTGGAGGTTGGCGATCGAGCTACAAAACTGCGCGATCTCACGGTTCACCGTGTCCCTGTGTGTCGTGTGTGTCGTGTGTGTCGTGTGTGTCATGTCATGTGTGATATGACATTGGAACGAAGACCAACCACTCACAAGAGTTAGGCCGAACAGGAGACTGTACGGTACCGATCGGAGCTGTAGTATTCGTGGTTGCCGGTGATGACGAACACGCGCTCGAATCGCGCCGCCTGCGCCTTGAGGAATTCCAAGTAGTCCTTCTTCCGTGGCTGGCCGATGTCCTGCGAGATGATCCTCAAAACTCAGTCGACGGTCGTGCGTGTGCGTGCGGTGGTGCGGGGGGGGAGGGGGTTTCGGTGAAAGCAACTCCCTTAAAAGGGAATCATTACCTTTTGCCTTCACCAAAAAGAAAGACTCTCAAATAAATAAAAACAAAACGTGATTTTTATTATTATAAAATCAGAGGAGAAGAAGAGAGTGAGCA